AGAAAGAAGCTGTCTGAAAGTTATAGCTGTTGTTTTGTTGTTGTTGATATAAATATTTTTATTTCTTTTTGTTGTTTCTGTTGTTATGTGTTATTTTGCCTGGGAGCCAACTGAGTATAGATTGAAACCTCCACAAACTGTGAGCTAAATAAACCTTTCCTTCCTTAAATTTGGGTGTCTAATATTTTGTCCCAGCAATGAGTAAAAATTAACTGAGACAAAATTTGGTTCCAGATAAGTGGGGTTGTTGCTGTGACTACGTGACCATGTTGTTCACAAGGTTTTACAAATGGCCTATGGAAAGAGATTTAAAAAAAAGGTTTAGAGTCTGGATCTGTAATCCTGTAATCCCACACCTGTAATCCCAGTGCTGGGGAGGCTGAAAACAGGAGGATTGCTACAAGTCCAAGATACGTAGTGAGACCCTGTACCAAATACATAAATGAAAAAAGAAAAAAAATGGTTTAAAGATGTTGCCTACTAGCGAAGAGTTCTTGTGTATGGGAGATTCTGGTCTGAGCTCAAAAGATCAAAATGCTCTTTAAAAGCCTGCCTGTAAAGACCAGGCTGGGAAGTTTCTGCTGGAAAGAAGGACCACATTGGACTGTAGATGATTTATGTTATACCTTGACAAAAAGTTTTTTGTGTCCAGAGACTGAGACTTTGCCTGCGACTGAGATTAAACATGGTGGACTAGTTAATCTTACAAAAAAGGCAGTAGCATGGCTATTGCTGGGGCCTTTAGTCAGATGTATATTGAGAGTCAAGAGCAAAGAACCCAGCAGGATGATTTAACATGTTGTGAGTTTGGGGGGAAAAAAAAGTGCAAAAAGGCTGTAGACTACAAAGATAGAGCTGAGATCTCCACTGATCAAGGAAAAACAAAAAGATAAAATAGATGTCCTGAGGGCATCACAGGAGGTGGCAGTTCCTTGCCCTTTACAGCCTTAAAACCACAAGGGTGAGAGATTTTGCTTTGAAGAAAAGGCCATAGAGCCCCATGTTATAAAATGGAGGCAGTGGCCACACCAGGTTCCAAAATGGTGTTGGCACAAAAATTTGTTCCTCAAAATCAGTGTTAGAGTGCTCAGCAATCTAGGCACTCGACCCCTACAGCCAAGGGGGGGAAAAAAAAACCCTGGCTACTGCTCCAGCTGGCAACAGCCCTTGGCATCATCCACGTGGCACTGGTTTTATACACATACAAAAATACAAAAATTCTGAGGTTAGAAAGGCTTCAGAAAGCATGGGAGGCCAGGCAGTGTGCCCCTGAGAGGGCAGTGTGTAAAGCTGTGAGTAAAAAGCCTTCAATAAAAGCCTCAAAAGTTTTCTTAAAAGCTAAAAACATAGATTTTCTAAGGAGAGCTGAAAAGAGAGAACAAAGCCAGCCCCAGTAAAAAGCCATGGAGCTACCAACCAAAGTGCCATAGGGTGGAGCCACATAAGGCTTTTAGAGCTCGCAACTCATTGCAGGTTTCTTCAGATGTTCCACATGGAACTATAGGACTTAATATTTGCCCTTCTGAATTAGCCTTGCTTTGGTCCCAAGGCTTTGTGTCCTGCTGCTTGTACCTTTTGGGATGGTAGTGTTTGCCTTGTGGCTTTAAGTGTTAAAAGTGTTTAACTTTTCCTTTGTGCAGGGGCTCACAGCTGAGAGTTTTCCTTAGGTTATAAAGAAGACTTGAGACTTGCACTTTTCAGCAGTGCTAAAACTGTTAAGGTTGTACATAAAGAGATGTACATGAGTCTTTGAGGGAATGCCCAGCGTCAAAGTGTCATGGTTCTAATACAGTACAGTGTTCAAGCTGTTAAATGTTAAAAAGTCTGTCTAGGTACCTGGAAACCGGTTTAAGGAAATGTCTGGCTGCCAAGTTGACAAGGGGTGGATTGTACTGCTTGATACATTGTGTCAATGTGCAAAGTTTAGAAGTTTGACTCAGCAGAGAGCCAGGATTCTTAGTTTATAAGCATCATCATGCTGTACAAGAGGAGGGCATGGATATTGTGTAGGTTCTACAGTCCCAGCCCTAGGGTAGCTTGTTTATAATATAAGGAGGGGAGACAGGCTGGCTAGAAGCCGCAGCTGCTGCCCTTCCCTTTGCTCTTTGTTGTTTTCTGCTGCCAGGTGCTGCTGCTCTCTGCCATGTGCTGCTCTCCCTGCGAGCCAGTGGGGTATAGACTGAAACCCCCACAAGCTGTGAGCTACATAAACCTTTCCTCCTTAATTGTGGGTGTTGGGTATTTTATCCCAGCAATGAGTAAAAAGTAACTGAGACAGCTTCCTAGTCTGCAGTGCTCCAGTTCTGTGATGTGAGGAGCCTACATCCCAAAGCCTTTCTGTTCTGTTGTTGTCTATCTGGGGACTGATGCAGTTCCAGAAGATTCCGGTTTTTGACTGTATTTGTGACTGTGTGAGGCTCTGTGACATTTTGGCTAGAATTGTAACTTGTTAATCATTGGCTTGCATTGAAACAGTTTAGGACTAGAGGTTCAACTTTTTAAGTTTGGTAACAGGAAAAATGTTGTAAACCTGTCATCACAAGCGAAGAGCTAGATGAAGAAGAATCATGAGATTGATAGGATATGATTCATAAAATTGTGCTATAAAATTGTGTCTGATTATATTCACTTACTTCAAGTAATTTGGCACCAATAATGTAAGACTATTTTTTAGCAATATGATGAGATAGGGACATTTATGAGGCATATTTGAGATAGAAGTTTCTGTTTGGCCACTGAATATTCACTTTTTTTTCTTTGAAAATTAATATTTGTGTGGAGTATAAGATAATAATACATTTATTCAGTATGGTATTATCAAATCAAGGTAATTAGCATTTTCATATCCTCAAACATCTGTAATTTGTTTGTTGCTAAACCTGGAATTATTCTCTTCCATTTATTTTGAAATATATAATTATTGTCTGTGTTACCCCATTGTGCTTTAGAACACTGGAACTAATTCCTTGTATTCACTGTATCCTGGTATTCACTACCCAAACGCCTGTCCCTCTACCCTTCCTATCTTTTAGTGATTATCATACTGTGCTCTTCTTATATGACATCAACTTTTTAAACTACTTCATGTAATTAGGAATATACAGGATGTCTTTTGTGTCTATTATTTTGTGTAATTAATATCCATGTTGCTGCCAATGAAAGGGTTGCATTCTGTGTGATGGCTGCATAGTATTCCGTTGTGTGCTTAGGCCATTTTCTTTACCCACTCGCCTGTTGATAGACACTTTGTTGCATTCTGTGCTCTAGATATTGTGAACAGTGCTGCACGGGAACTGTGGGAGGACAGGCATTTGTTTGATCATAATGCTTTCATTTGTTATTTTGGATATATACCTCATAGTACAGACATTTATAAAAGCCTTTATGAGGGAGAGCGTAACTCCTCACTTCTTAAATATGGGTTTTCCAGAGACTTCTTTGTAAAGACTGTACCATTCAAAGGAGGAGAAAAAGAAACCTGCCAGCCAAGAACCCTATAATAAACAATAACACCCGGGCAGATAATCAGTGTCACCATCAACAGTGATAAATCATGTTCCTAAAGAAGACGCTTGCTGTGGTGTGCTCTAAGGGCAGTTTGTTCTTGTGTCCCTGAGCCCTAAATCTTGCAACCCCAGTGTACACATAGAGAAATATCACACAAATGCCAGTATGGAGACATTTTATAGACTATCTCCCCTGTACCCCGAATGCTGCTAAGGCCATCAGACATAATGAGTATGCTAACTGGAAGACAACACTATACGATACAGCAAATACTATTGGATTTATAGTATTTTGTTTAGTGAAATTCTGAATTGTTTCTAATTTTTTATTGTGTATTCTCTTTTAAAAAATAAAAAAAGAACTGTGAGAGCTAGGAGGAATGTATGGGGACCTGATGACATAAAATGAGTTTATTATAGGTTAAAAAAGTAAGGAAGTCATAAGTTATGAATATTGGTTAAGAAAAATATTGACCACTGTAATGATATGGATGTGAATACAAGTAACTGCTGTGTCTCAGATAAAGACAGAATGGCTGAATATTTGACAGTATTGCTGGAATTCACCTCAAATAGTCATAACATCAGCTATGTTTTATGAAGGTGAGTAATGTTAGGAGAAAAATGGCTTAAGAGCAAGCAATCAAAGCATGTAGATCAGTGTGCTAAATTATAAAAACCAAGCCTGAACTTCAAAGAGCTAACGCCTTACGCTTGAAATGTTTAACTCCCTGGTATTTTAGAACAGAATGACATTTGTCCTAGTTAGGCTTTTATGCCAAATATCAATCAGATTGCATATGTTATAATACATAAACAAACTAAACCTTCCAAACTGGGAAGTACTGAACATACATAAAGTACTTCTTAATGAAGCTTTTTTGATGTTATTTGATCTACTAGAAAACATGAAAACCTTGCAATAGCGTAGAAACATACCAGTTTTTAGCAGAATTACATCCTTTCTTAGACTGGTTTTAAGAAAAAAATATTTAACTTGAGCTATTTTCCATGTGAAGATGTAAGAAAAATATTAACTATATTTTAAATATGCAGTTAGTTTGATTGGTTTGTAGGAAAATAGACTGTGCTCTAGACATGTTTCATACAGAGCAAAGAAATTTCTTGAGTTTTAGAATGTACAATGCTTTTAAGAATATTTTATAATCAAGAAAGCAAGAACAGTGTGCGTTCCTGCATTGTGGATTCCTGTTCACCTCATAGAATACAGGCCACCTGCTCATAGTGTCTGCATTTGACTGTGCCACTTGGCTATCCTTTTTCCTGCACCCTTTTGACAGTGTGTGGGAGAAAGCTGTCCATTGATTCTGTTCACAGACTTATCCTTCAAGGGTGACATGAGCTCCCTGAACATGTTAGTGTGTTTTCACAGATGTACAGTAACGGCGCCCTGGCTTCACCGGGCACCTTCTTCAGAACAGAAAGCTGCGTGCTCTGCATTCTGAATGACAGCAGCGCTGCTCTGTTTTCTAGTGCACTGACCGGCAGAACTCGCCAGTCACGTCCCCAGGATCCTCTCCCCTCGCGCAAAGAAGAAAGCCCCAGCAGGACCCACTCCAGATCCCACACCTCAGCCTGCCGCCCGTGCCTCCTCGCCTGGACTTGATTCAGAAGGGCATAGTCCGGTCTCCCTGTGGCAGCCCAACGGGCTCACCGAAGGTAAATCACTCTCAGCAGAAACGCCGTGTGGGACCTTATTAATTGCTCATTTCCTTTTAAGTCCCGTTACTCAGCTACTTGTGCTTTTTTGTTGTTTATGAACGAAACTTTGAGAGGTTTATCATTTTTTATGGTGATCTAGCTCTAATTCTTCAGAAAGAGCACGTATCTGTGGCCTCCCGATTTGTTAAAACAAATTGCAGTATATGTATAGTCATTCTGTAAAATGGATTTAAAAGGTCATTATATGCATTAAAATAATTTGCATGCTGTTACCAAATGATATTTTACACTCATTTTCATAATGTCATGACAAGAAAAATGTAATGGGAGTATATTTGCATAAGAACTTAAGGTATGACAAATTAGCGCCCATGTTTCAAGGTGACTCACAAGAGAATTATTTGTATGTTTTATACCAAGAGGAATTAATTACAAGGAATTACAATATTTGCAAAGTAATTACATTACTTTTTAATATTAAAGACAATTTTAACTCTGTAAATTTAAGCCTACACTCTATTTTAGTTTTACGTTTATTCTTTTTTCCAAATTTGATAAGGGTATATTTAATATTTTGATCTATTAAATATGAGTTAGAAATTAATTCAATTTAGCAATATGCTTCATGGTCTAAAATTAGTAGAAAGTACAGTATATTTAATAGCATTTGATTTTTCTGCCCTATCAATTTGGTTGTAAGCTCATATAAACTTACTAGGATGTGACTTAGAGTTATATATATATATACAACAGATACTTATTTCTCTGATTTTTCTTAGTATTTAAGGCTAAAATCATTCATCAAATGAACTATGTAAATAAAAATCAAAGCTAGGAAGTGCAGTGGTGTATGCGTGAAGAATGAGAGGCCAGCTTATGCCACTTAGTCACTTAGGGGGATGGTCTTAGAGCATAACAAGAAAAGGGCTGGGGATGTAGCTTAGTGCAAAGGCCCTGGGTTCAGTCCCCACTCACACATACACACACAGGCTATGAAAAGATTCCATTTAAAAGTACATACTTTCACATTTCCGTGTAAAAAGCAGACTTTTAAAAAAACATAATTTTCTAAATAATGCTGCTATATTATTTGTCATTTTCTTTATTCTTTTAATGACTGGAAATCAGCATTTGCCCCATATCTGTTCTGTTGTACTATGATGAAAATGAAAAATTTTTTAAAACTTATTCTTACAGAAGTATTACAAGTCTAGTTTCTATTTTAAAAAGTAAAGCTGTGGCAACAACTTTGATGAATTTATGTCTCAAGGAAATGTACAAAAAATAAATTACTGGCATGATATGTGAAGGTAGTTAATTTCGGTTTTCTGGGGTTTTTTTTTTCTGTATAGGTTGCATAACATACCATTTGTGCTTACATGTTCATTTCTTGCAAAAAATACTATTTTTCATTAATGTTTGAAACTTGTCATATTTTTTTAAAGCTTATTAAAAGATGACATAGAAATGTGATAATGTTCCAGTATGGTTTAGAAAGTACATGAGGACTTTGGTGTGGAATCTTCAGCTGGCTTTGTTTTGTATCCTCTCTTGCACCTCGGCAGTCCTCTCCTTGCATGGTGAGAAAACAAGATAAACCACTCCCAGCACCCCCGCCTCCCTTAAGAGAGCCACCACCCCCTCCGCCTGAGCGACCTCCCCCCATCCCGCCTGAGAACCGACTGAGCCGCCACCTGCAGCACGTGGACGGGGTGCCTTCCAGGGACCAGCCCATGCCTCTGGAGGCCTGGTGCCCTCGCGATGTGTTCGGGACCCATCCATCCTTGGGGTGTCGCATCGTGGGGGAGGGCTCCCCGAAGCCTGGAATCACAGCGAGCTCGAATGTAAACGGGAGGCACAGTAGAATGGGCTCCGACCCAGTGCTGATGCGGAAGCACAGGCGCCACGACCTGCCTACTGAAGGAGCCAAGGTAGGAACCAGGCAGAGCGAAGCCCCGGGGCGCTGGCCTGCTCTTCTCACAGCGGGTGGCCCACAAGGCAGGGCAGCGCCCCTTCCCTCGCCGGGTGTGGCACCTCCCGCTGCTCTTAATTCTAAGTTATAAATAATCAGAACCTCATTAAAACTTGAACTCAAGAGAAGCCAGAAGAAAGGTTCTAAGTAATGGATTAATTTTAATATGTAGACAGCCAATTTGCCAGAGACTTACCTCACCTTATTTCCTCTGCCAAAGATTTGTTCCACTAATAACTGCATAATTTGATGGTAGAATTTGCATGATTTTTTTGTACAGGGTCCCACTATGCAGCTCAGACTCATAGTGATCCTCGTTTTCAGCTTCCTCAGTGCTGGGATTACAGACGTGAACCACCACTGCCAGACTTGGTTGCAGGCCCAGTGTGCCTGGTGGGGCGGGGCGGGGTGGCGCAGCATGTGGTGCCCGGCATCAGCATGCTATGTTTTTTAGTTCTCCCTAGTTCTGTCAAAGTTGAGAAAAATCATGTGTATGTGCATTCGTGGGCGTGTGTGTACATGTATGTATTACAGTCATACTGCAGACAGTGATGCTTAAAATTACAGAATTTGGCAGGGTGTGGTGTTGCACACTTGTCATCCCAGCACTCATGGGCTTGAGACTGGAGGACCCCTGCCAGGGCGAGACCACCCAGGCTAAGTGTTAAGTTCAAGGTTAACCCTAGCTATTAGCCAGACCCCATTTCAAAAAACAAAATCCCAAAACTTGTCTTCATCTTACAAAATACGTTTTTTCCTCCTGAAACTGAGATTTTTAAGTTTGAATTTTGACTTGAAGGATATCTCCACTATCATTTATAGGTACAAGTTGGAATTTAAGGGTCCTGGTAGTCCCCAGCAAAGGTGTGCTGTAGTATAATGATCTCTGGTGTTGGATCTCATGTTTCATGTGTGCATTTGCACTATTAGTGTCTCCCTCTACTGCAGGAGTGTCTTCCTCTTTTGAAAGTTGTAATACTAAAGGGATCCCATGTCTGTTAGTCTTACATCATCATTTGAAGAGGTTATTTTGGTCAGTTAATCTCATACCACATTCAGGAATCAAAGTTCTCTGCTCTGTGTGTGTGTGTGTGTGTGTGTGTGTGTGTGTGTGTGTGTGCGCGCGCGCGTGCGTGCACACATACATGCACAGTTATGGTGATAGTAGAAGCTTTGTATAATGAAACAATCAATGTTAGTGTATCAGTGATATTGAAGGAAGCCGGGTAGAAAGAGTGGATCCCTCAAATAATATTCTCTAAAAATGGAATGCCTGTCCTCAAAAGAGTTTTTCTGCAACATAGAATGCCAGCTGGTAGAATTTGCTCTTTTAAAAGCCTTTCCTCCTGCAGCCGCCGCTCCTTGCTGCCCGCTCATGCTGGCGCCAAGCTTCGGAACAAGCCGTGAAATGAGTGGACTGAATAGATACAGGGTGCACTCATAAAGTACAGTGAGTGCCTACATTTTAAAAATAGTGTGACAATAAAAGATGCATTGCCATTAGTGCCTCTCATACTCCCCTGGCTGTAAGCACACAGCCACACAGCGGTTCGGGGAAGTCTTTCGTGTCTTGAATTGCACAGTCTTGGTTTACTCGATGTCCTCAATCAATTTGAAGCATTTGCCATTCACGGTCATTATGACTTGGAAAAGGGCCAGAACTCATATGGTGTAAATCTGGCGATAAGGGAGAAGAGGACACACCAAAAGTTTTTATTTGCTGGAGCCTCACCAGGAGTGACACGTAACAGCATTTTTATACTGGAGGATGAAACTGCCTGCTTCTCAGGTAGTTTTCTGTACACAACTTTCTTAAATAATAAGCCCTTATAACAGCAACCCCATAGTCAACTCACACAAACTCAATTCACACAATTCCATCAAGGTAAAAAGATACAATGTCACATTTGTATTGTGTCTTGAGTTATGCACTTTCTTTGCACAAGAGAACTGGGTGATTTCCTTGCAGGTTCTGGACCCACAGGACATCCTATAGGCCCAGGTTTCATCCGCCATGATGATGTTTCTTCTGAAGCAGGGAATCGTGCAACTCCAAAGAGATGGGTTCATGACCCATGATGTGCTGCACTTGTAAAAGCACACAGCCAATTCACTGTTCCAAACAAGTTGAAACCCGCCATACCTTGTTGCCGAAGCTTGAGGGCTGCTCCTGATCCGCAGCCGCGCTCACCCTGGTTTTTAAATCACACCTTATATTTTCTGAACTTCAGAAATGCTTAAAATAGTACAATTATCGTAGTTCATTTCAGGGTACTCTTAGCAAATATAAAATAATACATTAATTTTAATATATGACTGCTCTTGTAGTTCCTAACACTGCCTGTTAAAGGATATGATAGTTTTAAAAATTGGCGTGATTTTTTTCTGTGTGTGGATTTTATTTATTAACTAAAATCTTGTTTCATTCCAAGATATCCTCATTAATTTTTCTTAACATCTTCTAATCTCATGTGTTCTATTAATATTGCAATGCTTATATCCTGAAAGTTAATTTCATATTACTAGAATTTGCATTTCAACCAAATTAGACTTTTAAGTTATCTAATTTTAACTTAGGTTGTAAAGAAGGTTCATATATATATAGTTAATGCATTTAATGCTATAAAACAGACTCTGTCTTTACTAACTTTATGGGGGAAAAGTGGTTCTACTGTAAGAAGTCCATAGGGAATATTGCAATTGACAAAAAGTAGAAAAGGCCAAATCCCCTTCTCATTTGGTTGCTAGGAGACATAAGAAGCTAGCTTTAGGTCACAGCTGACACAATACCAAGTCCACCTGGGATCAGTGCTGCAGTTCTGTTTCTATGACTCTGGGGTGACTTTTTTTTACCAGACTCTAGGATTAGACCTGGACTTCATTTCTTGCTCTAATTTCCTGGTTTTGTGAACGTGAATGAACAGCTACTTCATCTTCACCTAGTGCTGATCCTACTTATTTTTCCTTCCCTTACAAAGTAGATTTCTAGTAATACCTGGTATTCATAACACCAATGAGTCGCCAACTACCTAAATTAGCATCTCTTAATTTGTGAATAAGACCAAAATAACTGTCAGGCATTGAGCATCAAAATAAATTTTAGTCACTGATATTTTCAGTCAAAATTGTTTTTTAGTAAATTAACTTCTCTTGCCCACTTTCCTGTTAATACAGTTCCTGATGCACCCTTGGTAAGCATGCAATGACCCCTTGCTTTTGTTGTACTACTTAAGCTGATAATAGAGTCAAAAGAATGGACATGTGCCAAAGTTGAGACTAGTAATGGACAGGTCAAAAAATGAAGGAGGTAGAGGAAGAGGGTGCCTCTAATACGTGCAAACACCCAAGTTATCTTGGCAACACTGTCTTTAGCTGATGGAAAAATATGATTTTCCTGTTCAAAATATGTGTTTTATTCCCTTTTGAAGAGTATTAGTTTTAGACAGTTCCTCACATGTAAGTAAAGAAGAAAGGGTAAAGAGGAATGGGAGATGGTTTCGGTTTTTTAAAAAGACTAGTATTTTAGTGAAAATTGTAAATAGTAATGACCTTTTCAACCTTCATCACTAGTGTATACTTTTTGGCTTTGACCTGTTTTGTTTTACAGGAACAGAGGGTGCAGAGATTTAGATACGTGGAGAATGATTTATTATCCTTATGTAGACTTATCAATTTCTCTAACTATAAGCAAAGTCACCTTTTCAGCAAATAGTAAAAGTACTATAGTTAATAGCCTAGGTGTAGTTGTTTCCATTAAAGTTAACACTTCAAGATAAATAGCATCTTTCTACTTTAAAGAACACTTATAAAAGATTAAATAAAAATGAAATGTGCATATGGAATAACACAAGGGGAATTGATCAAGCTAAATGTCCTACACATGGGGCAAGGCTTGCACTTCCATTGTCTGATCTACGTGTGCCAGCTCCCGGCGCCCCTAGGACCCTGGCCTTTTGTATTTACATCTGCACTAGACAAGCAATAAGGGAAGCAAGGACAAATTAAATTGTAATTACTCCATTTGCTAACTGTAGCGCGCTTTAAGGAAAACCCCTAATTCAAAGTTAAAATGAAGTGTAAACATTTTTTATGCTGCTCTTTAACTTATTTTTTCTTTGATCTCCAACCTGGGTAATCAGAAGCCAGCTAAGGTGACACCTTAATTTCAATTACAACCAGAGTTACCAGGTTTGTCTTGTATTGCTAAGAAGTATCTTTCTTACAGCAATGTTTCCATTTTCTAAAATTCTCAGATTCTAGCCACATTTCAAATATGTTATTTGTTAAATCCCTCTTTAGGTAGATATTTATTCTTCTTAGTTTGTTCAAGGTGATAACATTTACACTAAAAATATTTTAAAATATGAATAAAAACTTGGAAGTTATTTACATCTAGATATAAACATTGTACCCAGCTATCATTAATTGTTCCCTTTGAGAGATTCATGAGACCGCTTATTCGATAAAAATTTAGTCATGTTACTGATAGACGTGGTTTTCAGCATGACATATGTTTGATCTCTTAAAGATGCTGCTAGATAAGTAGGTCACATGGGCTCCCTTTCGGAAATTGCAGCTTTTGCACTTTTGGCAGAGGTATTTGTTTATGTGAGTGACCTTCAAGTAATCTATGAATCTCAAGAACTGTCTTTCAAAAAATAAGCCTATTGTATACGCTGGTTTAATTTTCAATCTCAGGTGAGGGACAAAATACAGAAATGCTTTTTGGATAGTGTGTTACTGGGGATGGTTACATACATTAGTTGGGGAAAATAGTTTTATTTTGAGTTTTGTATTTTTTTTTAAATCTAAAATTACAAAGTTTTCACAGAATTGTTTTCTCTGTGTTGCAGAGGTTCCACACCTTGTAACCTTCAGTTTTTTTAGATGATATCTGACTCATAGCATTGAATTTCAAATATCAAACTGAAGGTCTAGAATAACCTAGATTTACAATAAATTAGGAACTCTGATGGCACTTTTGCACTAACCCACACCTCCAGTAAGTGTACAGTCTCTCCAGCCTAACCCTACAAAGTATCCCTTCGGTTCCTCATCACTGTGGGGAATGCAGATGTGAAGTGAGCACAAGGCAGGTATGGGTTCATTTACGGAGCAAGGCATATGTGAATATCCAAGGGAGTGTGGGTGGTGCCCAGGAAGAGAAATTCTGAAAGGCAGGGTGGAAAACGAAAAGGTGTAAGAGACTCAGTAGCTACAGATATTTAAAGGTAGGCAGTTGTCTTTTTTTTTTTTTAAAGGCATGACAGGAAAAGCATGCTGGTATGAAAATATGTATGGTGGTAGGAAATCAATTTTGTTTTGTTTTGCTTTTTATGTTTCGCTGACTTACTATTTTAAAGAAGAAAAATGAAACAAAATTTTCAAACAAAGACTGGGCATGGTGGCGCTCACCTTTAACCCAGCACTTGGGACACTCTAGACAGGAGAATCACTACGTCCAGTCTAGTAGTGAGACCCTGAACACCCTGTAGACCTTTTCCTAAAAAATAAAAAAAAAATAAAAAAAATTCAAACAAAAGAATAGGAAGGTAATAATGGTTAATACATTGCATATTGTTATCTTTAAATTAGTTACTCTGAGTACAAGATACTGCCATTATATATACGTATGTATATGTATTATATATAAACTGTGTGTGTGTGTGTGTGTGTGTATATATATATATATATATATATATATATATTGCTTTTTCTCTCCTTTTCTCCAGTTCCCCACCTCAGTTTCTCTTTCTTATCATTTCTCAGTATCTATTGTGCATATTGGATCTTATTTTCTCTTTCAGCTTCTCACACTAGGAAGACATTCCACTCTGTACATATGTGCATCTGGTTTATTTCACTTATGAGCATGGGCTCAATTTGTATCCATTTACTTTAAAAACCTCCAGTTTATCCTTCTCTATACCTAAGTAGTACTCCATTGTATAAAAATTCTGCATCTTTTTTATCTCTTCTTTGGTTGATGAACATTTGGGTTATTTCCAAGATATAGCTATGACAGATTGTGCTGCTATAAACAAGGGTGCACATATATTGCTGTAGTATGTTTTCAGTTCTTCTAGGAAAATACCCAGAAGGGGAATAGTTGAGTTAAATGGGACCTGTAATCCTAGTTTTTTGTGGAATCTTCACACCCATTCCCATAATACTTGAACCAGTGATTTCCACGATACTTGTACCAGCTTACCTTCACACCAGTGATGAAGAATGGTTCCTTTTCCCCTACAACCCCTCCAGGATTTGTTGTTGGTTGGTTTCTTGTTAATAGCCATTTTTTTCTATGGTACGATGGCATCTCAATGTTGTTTTAATTTGCATCTTTCAAATAACCAATGATGCTGAACAAGTTTTTTCCCATATTTATTTGCCACTTGTGTTTCTTATTCTGAGAGGTATATATGCACCTCAGATGCCCTTTGAATTTTCAGAACCTGATTTTTTTTTTCAGTTGTTTGTATGTTCTAGTCAGAAGTTCTTTGTGGGCTTGTTGGCTAGATTTTTTTTTCCCCACACTGTGGGGCTTCTTTTCACTCTGTTGGTGATTTTTTTTGATGTGCAAAAACTTTTTAATAAGATGAGATCCTAGTTGTTGATTCTTTAAAGCATTTCTAGTGTAGCTTAATTTTTGTTCATGAACTCTGCCTGTGTCTATGTCTTCAAGATGTCTGCCTACGTTTTCTTCCAGTAGATTTAGCATTTCTCTTTTAATAATTCGACCTTTGATCCATTTTGACTGTAGTTTAGTGCTTGGTGACAGACATTGGTCTGTTTTTAGTCTTTAGCGTGTAACAAGCCAGTTTTTGCTGCACCATTCATTAAAGAGGCTGTCTATCTTCCGGTAAACTTGTTTGGCGCCTTGGTCATAGTGCCTTCTTTAGTAAGAAATCTAAGCCAAGCAGTGGTCACTATTCATGTAACCCTTAACATATATAAATTACATAGAACACTGTGCTGTAAAATTCATGACACATTGAACCTCTTTCAGAACAAATCATATTGAACCTCTGAAAGAGGTTCAATGTGTCATGAATTCTCCATGAAGAGGTATAATTACATAAAATAAGGAAAGTAATCGTGGATAGAAGTCACCAAATGCATAGTTCAGACAGGACAACGTGACATTTCAGAGTTGGCAGAAATATTTTAGGTATTACATATCAGTAACAAAATTGAGAAAGCAATTAGAGAATGTGTTATTTGTACTTTTTTTTTAATACCAGGTATGGAACTCATGCCCTTGTACTTGCCAGGAAGGTGCTTGTGTTGCTGAGCTATATCCCTTTACTTGTTATTCATACTTTAAAGCATAGTAATTGTTTCATAAAATTGGGAACAAGTTCCTTAATTTCTTCAGTTTGTTGCCCTCCCAGAGAATGAGTTACTTCATTCACTGTGGTTTTCTCAATGGCAGCCCCCATTGTCTGTGTGACTTCTCTTTATTCAGTTTAGTGATAATGCAGAACATGTTTGGCTGGGTGTATCATTGCCGTGTCAGTTCTCCAGTTATCTAACGTATAAGATAAAATCATTTTCAATATCAGTACATGTTGTGCATATTGGCACTCCTTTTCAGATCTATTGTTAATGTCTTAGTTATAAAAATTATGATTGGCTTATAATTGTTAAATTAGAACCTGCAATTAAATATTCCCAGGTCTTCACTTTTTTTGGTACCAGCAGTCCAACTCCACCTCTTCTTCTGTGTAGTTACTTTTTCTGAAAAGTACAAATTATTGCATATAAAATCCACGTTTCATTTTCATGGATGGATTTTCAGTGTATTTGTGATAGAAAAATATTAAGGAGATTTGATTGCAGATCTGTTAGCATTGAACATACTCCCATAGCATGCAAAGAACTTTAATTAAGAATTAATTTCAAGTGCTCATAGCATTAATGAATGTTTGTGGTCTGACACAGTGTTGGGCATTTAAAGGTATTTTTATGCTGAAAGATTGCAATTATTCATATCTGTTAGAAAATTTCTCATTTCTAGCAAAGTTCAGAAAACTTTCTACATTGTTATTTAGCCCAGAATAAAATAAAAAATAATAATTATTTCATTTAAAGATAATATTTTTCCTGATTTAACTAGAGTGAATTGAATGTAATGAGAGAAAACCTGAAAAAGAGGATGGAACTGAGCCTAGGACTTAGTATTTAAAGTAAAACTTTAATAGTATAAAATAAGATTTTGCAGCTTTGAAATGCAAGCAATGATCATTTTCAGGTGTGTTCTTTAAGTTTGTTTCTGTTTTTACTTTCAGTTGATAGGTGAGTGTGTGACCTTTTCACTTTTTTATTCAAAGCTTCACTACCATTTTAGAAATGAAAAAGAGAAAAAGTAATTAGTTGGTTCTTAGACTGTTACCTACATTTCATCAGTTTGCCCCAATAGCAGTCTGCTTTTAAATACTCAGTAATATAAACAAAAACGGTCTATGGCGAAATCTAGCTCACAGATCATTACAGGTGTTCAGTCCGTCGTTAGACTATGCCTTTGCAAAGTGGTTCTCTCATCCCCCTTTCCCCCTTTAATTTGTCCTAATTTCAGGTTGTTGGAAAAGCAGAACAGTTGTTCCAACCATTCCTGTAGTATGGCTGAAAAACCTGGAAATCAGAAAGTCTAATTCTCAGTGACGGAGTCCTGGCTTTCTTTAATACCTATATGAGCAAGTTGTTGTGGTTTGTGGTGCTGACCCTCTGAAGTTGAATATTATCTACACTTTGAGAGCCAGACAAATATCTAGTTATCAATAACCTTGAAGCTTCTACCTTGAAAACATTTCTTAAAATATTCCTAGATTATTATAGTAGGAAGTTAGAAAGTGTTCCATTGACCCTAAAGAGATATCATTTATAACACTTTTATTTAGAAAGAAATGAATTAAGAGGGCCAGGGATGTAGCTCAGCAGCACAGGCCTGCCTGCCAAGCATGAGGTCATCAGTTTGATTCCCCATACCAAAGAAAAACACAGAAATGAAATAAGAACCGTAGCAGTGGTGCTTTTCCCTTCACCTAATCCCTGTCTTTTCCATAAAAACTGATTACATTTGAGAAATTTTAACGCTTATTTGGTTGTATACATTTAATTTATATAAACCATGGTATTACTTCAGTTACATTTAAGGATTATTATATCTTCATATATAATCTGCTATTTTAGGTAGTGTTAAGTCATTCACCAGTACAGTGTTTCTGACTCTTAAACTATGTTACATTTAACTATTTTTAAATACCCTGAAACTGTAGAATCATTACTAAATTCCTAGAGCTGTTATGACCCTCAGAGCCTCCAGAAGTTTCCGTTTTGGAAAGTAACTGCTGGCTTTCCTTGCAGGTTCTCTCCAACGGTCACCTAGGAAATGAAGAGTACGACATCCCTCCTCGGCTTTCTCCTCCTCCTCCAGTTACCACCCTGCTCCCTAGCATAAAGTGAGTTTTACTGAATTTGGAGATCATTTGTCAATGCATAACTATATGGTGAAGAATACTTTGAGGTTATCAGTACAAAAACTGCAGGGTAGATAGAAAAGAATCAATGAAAAATCAAAAATTCAGTCGAACTTAGAAACTCTAGTACCACAGATCAAGATCCTTTTCAGTTCTTCACTGATAACCACAGCTTCTGTGAGGTTTACCTCAGCTCTCTGAGATTATACATGGAGCAATAGCTTGGAATACCTACGTAGTCCCTGTACTCAGTGAGGGCGGGAAGCAGCAGGGAGCTCTGCTCCTGGTTGGCCTCTCCTCCTCGGGTGTCACCTTTTTCCCTGTTGCCCGCTTGACATCACAGAGTAATCCTTGCTTCCTCCCAGTTCCTGTGTCTCAGATCCATGCAGCCCTTATGGACTGTTGACTGCTCTTGAGTTTTTCGTGTTTAGCTAACCCGCCAGTTGCCTAGCTTCCCCTTGTAGCTAGAATCCTGAAGGAACATTTACCTGATCAGCTTTTAAGAATCAATGAATTTAAAGCTAGAAAATGAGTCAACCTGAGTGTCTCATTCGAAAAATGGGGCTGTAATGACAGAGTAGACCAGCAAGTGATATATTTTTTAGTGATTCTTAATCTTTTCCCTTTAATCTTATCTGTATATATTTTCTGGCTTTGTAAAGTTTTCTTCATTATTCCCTCCCTTGCTGTACTTTATCAAAAACTTCATGCTAAGTGTCTGTGTCTCCTGCTCTACTTGTGAAAACATTTATGATTTATTCTGTTTAATAATTAAGACTGATGTGCATTACTGTTTGTAGTTTGTTTTCTGCTAAAGTTGTTTTTGTTTTTTTCTTTTTAACAATTACAAGGTCTTAAGAATGCAGCTCAGCAGTAGAATATTTGACTAGCTTTCCTAAGACCTGGGGTTCAGTCCCCAAGACAGAAGAAAAAGAAAAAAGAAAAAACAGGTCATCAACCACCTTGTCAGTGTTCACCAGTTTTTTTCTGCAGAATTCTTTTTTTTTTTTTTTGGCAGGGGGGTCAACCCCCCTGAGGGTGGGGCTGGAATGGCATGTGGTGCCAAGGATCAAAGCATGGGCCCCTGTGCCTGCCTAAGCTTGCCTAAGCAGGCTCTTTAGACCACTGAGTTATCTTGCTGGCCCCCAGAATTCTTGATTGATTGACTGACTGATTTTATCTGCTAATCTTAAAGCTCCTTTAGCCTCAGTAGGTCACTGAATTCCAACTGTATATAACAAAAGAAGGATAAGGTAAATCTCTGTCCTTTAGAAATTTTCAGTTTAGAGAATAAAGTTAACATACGGGAAGTCACTGGACAATAATTAGCATGAAAGTGTGCAGTGCTAACCTGTTGGCTTTGTGGGTTGGGAGCAGAGGCTATTAGAGACCTTGTAAGCTGAGGATACTTCTGAAAGAATGGAAATAGCCTGAGTCCTAGAGGTTGGGCAGTTGGCTAAGTCAGTGCATGAGGAAAAGCCAAAGTCTAAGCTTGACATCATTTAGAGCCGCTGGACAACTCAGCTAATTAGACCATTCTTTAGAGAGAACCTTTCTTGGAACTGGCAGACCTGTAGCAGAAACAGAAGCTGGAAGCATTTACAGGTGTCCCGTGTAGTAGACTCTACGTGAGTAAGAACACTCCCATACTCTGTCTGTATACTCAAGGAAACATTAAAGCTCAGTCACCTCTATTCAAAGAACTTTAAAAATGGAAATAAATGGAATTTTGCTAATTAGAGAATAAAGTTTGAATTCTGTTTATTAAATCTATATTGGCAAGTACAGTGAGGTTGCAGTTTGCTATCAAATACCCATTTCTCCTGTAAACAAAACAAGAATAGGAAAATCATAGGGCAGTGTATTTTTTTTAAAGAATACAAAAGAGTTGTGTAATTTTTCACTTTGTAAGAACATTTATGGGCTGGTGAGATGGCTCCGTGGTCTAAAGCACCTACTTAGAACAAGCTTAGCAAAGCACAGGGACCGCAGTTCAATCCCCCAGCACCGCATGCCAGCCAGCCC